CAATGCTCGTAACCAGTTGGACGCACTTCTAAAATCCACTGAATTCATATTCAAACGCCGAAGTGAAGCGAGCCGAGAGATCCATTCAGGGTTTTCGATGAACAAGTTTCGAGAGAAATCATCTCCGTCGTAAGAAAGGTCGAGGTAGAGCAAGGCAGAGAGATTCCCCAGCTGATCGGGTACTCTGCCCACGAAGCCTGCATTTGATAGATTTAGATACGTTAGTCTCGTCAAGGATCCCAAGAACTCAGGGATGTGGTTACGCTTAAAATAGTTGCCGCTGAGATCCAAGTGATGAAGGCGCTGCAGAGAGAGCAACGATGGGCTCAGGTCACCACGCAGTGCCCATTTGCATCCGGTATGTAGCGCAAAATGTCAAACGTATTATCGTCAGAGCAGTCAAATATGTCCTCGTTGTGTTGATTCCGAAGGTCGAGCTTGGTAACGTGGCCAGTGATGTTGCTGCAGTCGACGCCTTCGCAGGTACAACAATCCTCCCCGTCCCAGGAAGAGAGACGATGGGAAGGATCATGGAGCCCGAGCTTGAAGTCGATCAGGGCTTTCCGTTCTCACTCTCGACAACGGATATAAGTGGAACCATGAGAAATCTCATGCTTAACGGTCAGTAGAGATACAAAGAGAAATAAACTTTTGTATATGAATAAATACTAGTAGGTCTAACACGCAGCGGAATTAAATAGAATTACAATCAAATAGAACACAAATATATACATGAAAGGAAAAAAACCATGAGACAAACTAGAGATAATCCATTATAATAATAATTAATATACAAATCTCAATCTCTTGCCCAAAATCCTAGCAACAATCACAAGAGAATAACTGAGATGCAAGGATCACGTCACTGTGCATAATATCTAAATCCTCCCTAATTCTCCCCAAGTAATAATCTACTGTAGATCTGATAGATGAAAGTACTGGTAAATGATTGAGAACAGTCTATTCATTATATATTTGATCATTAGGGATTCGATGGCCCTGTTGGGATAGTAGAAGAATACAATTTGACGAAAAATTGGCAAAAGATTACATTCGATTTCAGTGTTAATTTGATGATATTGAGGAGCATATCTTTCCCATGCATCTAACAAATTAAATCAAATTAGCATGCACCTAAGCTTAGGTTACCAAGAAAAAAGAAAAAAAAATGTAGGAAGCCAAAATTTCTTTTGTATGTGGCAATAATTTTTCCCATGTGGCAATCTGTTTTTCTTAATCTATTCCATTCACATAGTGAGTAACGCAAGACAAATTTGAAAAAAAGTAATGTCTAATAAGATTAGAAGAAATTATCAACTATAATTTAATTCTTCCAAAAAACAAATAATCTAAAAAATCCTATTGTATGATTTTATTTTTTGCATCTTGCATCTCATATTTGATTTCTTTTTTTCCTTTGAATTCATGTTCTACTAATAATTATTAATGACGATATAGTATGTCCAAACATATAATGAAAATCCTTGATAAATATAGTAACATAATCTATTATTTTTTTGTATGGACAAATACAACATAGCATGCACTAAAAACTTAAGTGTACAATTTGAACTTGTAAATTGATCAGTGCCCACGGTTTCATTTTATATCGTTATCATTTTCTTCACTAAAAAATAAAAAGCAAAAAAATACTTAAAATTATCATCGTTTACTTGACCCATACACTATAGCTCAAAATCACTCAATCGATGTGCTTGATATTTCAAAGTGGGTAGATATGGCGTTGCTTTCATGATTTATGTCTTTGTAAATTATCATGGCCACTAGAAATGTCCGACATATATAGTTGGAAATTGTAGGTGAAAAATTTTCGAGTAGGAGTTGTTTCCACGGCGTACGATCTCTATCAACCCTTATTGGAGGATGAAGATATGTTTGAAAACCTGTGGCAGGAATCATCAACACACTGCATCACAAAGCACTATCATCAAATCAACTCCATGTCTTCTCAAAGAAATCTCAAGAGTTTTTTTGGGCAGAGACGACTATAGCTAATGTCACCTTCCACTTGGGTTAGAACTTTTAGTTTTCCCAGCCTGAAATCACCGAGGCCAGTGTTTTTCTTTCGGATCCTTATTAAATGTGGATATAAATTAAGACTTTTATAAAAATAAAAAAATATTCAGAAAAATGATGATTATAAATAATTAAGCCTATTTATATGATTTTATTAATTGCAAATAATAAATATTGATTTATTATTTGCAACTAATAATTTTACTAATAATTTTTAGTAGCAATATTCATATATCTAAATATTTTAGGACATTTTACTGGAAAAAAAAAACTTTCATTTTTGGTTTTTTATTATATGACGCCCCCATGTTCACTTTTATTTTAGGACACTTTTACTGGAAAAAAAAAATGAAAGTTTTTGCAAAAAACACTTTCATTCTTTTTACTTGAATGAAATTATCCTCAAACTGTTACTAAAATGATTTGATCGCATATGCTATTCAAATTTTTTTATTTGTAATAATTATTTATCATAATTTTTTTTATAAATAAGAAAATGTTACTAAATATTTTAGAATCATATCCTATGATTCTGTAGAATTTTGAGTTCGTTTAGTAAAAATTAATCATATGTGAAAGTTACATTTGAAATTGAACCTATTAAAAAATCTTTAATTTTGATAATTTATTACAGTAAAATCATGTAAAAATTTTAAAAAATATTAATCATGGCCAGATAGTTCGATAGAATCATGACCAGGATGATGAAAAAAAGAACAAAAGAAGAGTTTGATGATGATGTTGACTTAAAGGGACATGTTTACAAGTAAAAGGAAACTATAGTCCCACGATGAAAGGAGTTAAGAGTTTAAATTGCATAGGTTGAGAATGATCAAAAAGCAGAGAAGTGATAATTGGACTGGTAACAATCATGAAGAATCGGAGTGGTCATCTGCAGAATCCAAGTGTCACACTTTCCACGAAGCAATCTATAAATTTAGATAACGAGAAACTCAAGAAAGATGTCGGAATTTTAGTTTGGAGGAAGAAATACTGTCATCAGTAAGCTATCCTCGATGAACATATAGTGTCGTGTATGTTGATGTTCATGTTAAGAGATGCTTAATTAGTGCATTCATGTGGCCAAAGCCCCACCATTCGATTCGATGGAGTTCATCCTTCTTTACAACACCATCCGATCACTTTGATGCGGTTGGGTTACATATTTTGTAATATTCATCCAAAATTTTTATGATACAAACAAAGCATTGGTAATTGGTCGGTGGATTGGATTTCCAAATATGTACCAGCGGAGAGTCGTACACGCTCATCCGAGGAACTACAATCTGATCCATGAAAGGGAGCCAATAAGAGATCCAAATTTACAGGACGAGTTCGTGTCGGTCTACGCCCTCAGCCATCGAACATATGTTCCAATGAGGTGGGGTCACTTGACATCACAGCTGAGCCGAGAGACACGTTTGACGCAGAAACTCTTGTAGTGTCAGAGAGTTGAATCCTTGTCGAGTTTCTAAACCACGTATGTTCGACGAAGAGTCTGTGAAAGACACAAAGTGTGAGAATTGTTGGAGTCGTCGAGTCAGTCAACCAGCTAACCATGGACTTCCCGGTGGATCATCGCGCGCTGCGTCTCTGTCAACCAACACAACAACACAGAATGAGACTCTTCTATTGGTTGGTTATTTGCGAGGGCCTCACGAAAAGCTATCGTCCTCACGCATTGCTCTCAACCCGCTGCAGACGGATTCGTCGTTCTTAATGGCTTCCCAACTCGTCTCTTTCAAACCAGTCCTGGAAGCACCGGGAATTCTCCTTTTGAAAACTGCAGGTTATTCGCGATGACCTCTCCAAATCTTTACTGCATGGAGTCGGTCACATTCATGTTGAAACTGATTCCAACCTCTCTGTCTGTGGCAAAACCCATCCTCCTTGAGTTACTATGATATTCTATTATTGTTGGACTCTTCAACTCTTTTATGATCTCACGTATATATCGTTGCAAACTGAGTAATAGCAAATCATGCTAGAATTTTTTTTTTAGTTACAATTTTTGAAGAGGGAAGTGGTTATGATCTCTGCTTGCTTATTACCTCTCTCGTTTTATTTAGTAATTATTTTTTTTCTTTCAGAAAAAAAAAATCCATGATCAATGATATATCAAACACAATAGGAGAAAAATGATGAACTATACTCGCTTTCGTATAGACTAACTAATTCGTTTTCACAGAACGATCGAGATAGGATGAGCGAATTGATGGATTAGACATGATGATGATGATGATGTATCATGTTAGATGACTTAGAAACTTATACCGTAGACTCTTGTGGAAAAAATAAAATCAAATACTTAAAGTATACTTAAGGATGGCCATGTGATTAGACTTTACCAAGGAAATAAATAACAATTCACTGTTATATTTTCAAGAAAACAAAGGTTTACAAAACCATGCAATTATAGTTTGTGGAAGATGAAGATCGGTAGATTGCCACGGATTCGTATGTTCAAGACTTCACGTTCCATCTAATTTGATAACTTAAAACTCTGATAAAAAGTTTAATCATGATTTTTTATTGATTAAGATGATAAGATCTGACCCTATTTTTCTCGGAGATAAATTCAAAGAGGCTTATTACTTGGTATTTATCTATATATGAATCTCAGGTTACTATCGCATATATTTGATCAACTATCTTTCTGCTTATTATTAGGTTTACCATCTTTTGAACTCGTTTTCAACAATTCAACTGCTCATCA